AGACGGGGGGGGGGCCGGCAGCAGTCTGGGGGTGCAGTTGGCAGTGGGGTGGAACACTGGGACGGGAGATGGGGCTGCAGGTTGGAGTTAAGGGGGATGGATCCAGGGGGATGTGTGGGGCGGGAGCAGGGACCCCCCTCTGGAGCTGACCCTCCTCTACCCTCCCCACAGGCCGTCCCCGGCGCCGGAACATCTGGAGCCTGTACAGCACTCCCCCGGCCGACCCCCCAGTCGCCGACGGGGGCCCCCCAGCCCGGCACCCAGTGGACTGGTCCAGCCTCCGCGGCGTGATCAGCAGTGACGCAGAGAGCGATTGAGGCTGGGGGGCAGCGCCTGGGTATAACACCCCCCCTGCCCACTGTGGGGCTCACCCCTGCTTGGAAGGGCCCATTGTTTGGGGGGGCAGGTCAGGGAGTGCCCCCTGTTGGACGGGGGGGCAAATCCGTCTCCCATTCCACACTTGGTAGGGGGCAGGTATGGGGCTCCAGGGCCGATTTAGGGTGAACAGAAATCGGCGGGGGGGGTAACCTCTAGGAATCCCCCCCCCCCCGCCCGGTGTCCGGCACTTTGAGGTGCTCCCACCCATCACCCCAAAACTGGAGGTTGGGGACCCCATAGCCACTAGCAGGGTCCTCCCTGCAGTGCTGGGGGGGGAGCCAGAGGTGACCCCAGAATATTCCCACACTGGCCCCTCAATGAAGGATGCTGGGGCAGGGGGCTGGCTGTGTCCTGGCTTGGGGGGCACCCCATAGTTCTACACCTGGGGGGCAATTCCCCCCACATTGGCCCTGAGCCCCCCAGTTGTAAATGTCTTTGTTTTATAGGAGTTTTTTATATTATAAAATAAAGTGAATTTTGTTATTTAAGGGGCGAGCGAGTGAGCATGCCCCCCCAAACCTCCCCACTGCGGCCAGAGCCCCCCAAACCTCCCCCAAGCCCCCACCTCCTCCCTGCCCCCCAGCAGCCCCTGCTGAGTGGTTTAATGGCAAGGTTTGTTTATTGCGCTCGTGGCTGGGGAAGGACTATAGATCTTTGTGGCTATGTACAGAGCTATACAGGGGCGAGCGGAAGACAGGCTGAGAGCAGATTCTCTCCCCCACCCCCATTTTGCCCCCTCCCACTTACACCCCCCCGCACTTACACCCCCCAACTGGAGGGCAGCAGTTGAGATCTTGTCTCTTGGGGGGGGGGGGGCGAAAGTTGTTTGTGTGTGGGGGGTGAATTGGAAGGCGGTTAGTGGGGTGTTTGTGGTAGGCCCTACAAAAATGGCCACCCAGGGGGAGAGTCACACGATGCGGGGGGGGGGTTATACTCAATGACTCTTCTTCCCCCCCCCCCTTAAACACAGCTTCAGACTCTGCAAAACCCCCCCCTCCAAGTTTCTGAGGTTAGAAAATGCTGTTTTGTGGGACAACCTCTACCCCCCGCCGAGCCGGTCCCAGGGTGGGGGAGCTGCCCCCAAATCTCTCCTCCAGGGGCAAACCCAGTCACCAGTGCCCCCGAGGTGTTCAGTCTGCCCAAGCCCGGGCACTCACATCTGCCCCTTGCTGGGGCGGGTCCAGCTGTCCTGGGTTGCAAAGTACCGGGCGGTGCCCGCCTATCTGTAGCTCCAGAGGGGCACCAGGCCGCGGGTCTCCTTCTCGTAGACGTCGGGCACGGGGCCGATGGGCGAGGGCACCATGCGCACCGTGTTCTTGCCGAAGAGCCGGCGCTCGTAATCGATGAGCTGGCGCCAGAAGCCCACGTTGGGCCGCACCACGGGCCGCCGGCTCTTCACCCACTGGTGGGCATCCAGCAAGCTGAGCCGGTGGTACTTCATGAGGTAGGCGATGCAGAGCGAGGCCGAGCGGCTCACGCCCGCCACGCAGTGCACCAGGGTGCGCCCGTTGCGCTTGCCCGTCTGGTGGATGCGGTCGGCCACCGAGTCGAAGTAGAGGCCCAGGGGGGCGTGGGGCAGGTCGGGCACCGGCACCTTGACGTACTCGATGTCGGGCCAGTTGGCGTTGGGGATCTCCATGGTGGCGTTCACCACGCAGGTCACCGCCCGCGCCGACACCAGGGGCCGGTTGGCGGCCGCGTTGCCACTGCACAGGTAGAGGCAGGGGGAGATCTGGGCGATGCCCCCCAGCGCCGACAGTGGGGGGACCCCGGGGGCCGGCTTCGCCGCGGGGGCCGGGCTGCGCCGGAAGAAGCCAGGCGTCCGGAAATTCATGGTGGAGGCTTCGGCGTACATGGGGGATGGCTGGGGGGGAGAGAAAAGGGGGGGGTGTCAGAGGGGGGGCTCTGTGCCCCAGGTCCCAGCCCCCTACAGCCAGTACCTGCCCTGGGGCTGGATCCCCCCTGGAGGGCCCAGGCCCCATCTCCACCCCCCACCCCGTCTCCAGCGCTTTCCATTCCCCCTCCCCATAGGTGGGGGGCACATTTCGAAGGTTCTCAAGTGAGCCCCCCCGGATCTCCAGAGCGGGGGGGGGGCAATAGAATAGAGGGGAAGGTCCTGCCTCACCCCCTCCCGGCCGCCTGGGTCCGCCCCCACTTCCCTAGGCGAGAGCCGCCCCGTTGTGGGGGTGCAGGGCGGAAAGGGGGTGGGATCTTGACGGGGGGCCAGAGTCCTGCCCCCCCCGCCGGGGGCGCCTACCTAGCTCCGGCTGGGGCCGGCCCCTCCCCGTGGGGGGCTAGGGGGCAGCCGGGAGGCCGCCTCCGTCCCGTCCGCGGAA